ACTCTGATTTTTTAAAAAATTTTATTTATTTGAGATAGAGAGCGAGGGGGCAAGATAGCATGAAAGGGGAAGCAGAGGGAGAGGGAGAAGTAGGCTCCCCGCTGAGTAGGGAGTCTGATGTGGGGTGATCTCAGGACCCTGGGAATCTGACCTGAGCCAAATGCAGATGCTTAATGACTGAGACACCCAGGTGCCCCTAAATACTCTGATTTTTTTTATATCTCCTCTTCTTATAGTATTTGCATCCATATGGATTTGAATTAATTTCTTCACTAACTGAGCAAATATAACACCATGTATCTGGTCACTTATTCATTCATCTCTTCATCTTAGGAAGTGGCAGTTCCATCCTTCCAGGCCTGTGATCCATCCTCTTTTCTGGCTAAAACCCCTGGAATATGCTCCAATCCTCTTCTATCTGACATCTAATCCAATCCATTCATTCTGTAAATACTTTTTTGTGCTTCTAGGCCCTGGGATATATCAAGGAATATACCTAGCAGGAAATGCTGTTGATTCCATCTCCAAAATATATATGTAATCAGGTTACTTTCCACCATCTTCACCTCTACCTGCTGTTCTGGTCTAACTGGTCTCCCTGCTTCTGCTCTTGCCTTTTCCACTACCTGCCAAGTCTATCCTACACATAGAAGCCATAATCTCAAAACTTAAGTCAGAGTATGTTATTTCTCTGCTCAAATCCTCCAGTAGTTTTCTAAGTCACTCAGGGTAAAAATCCAACCTTTACAATAGCCTTCAGGCTTATATGATCTGTTAGTGGCTGCACCTGCCCCACCCTCTTACTGGAACACCTTATTGCACAACCCGGGAACTGTGTATTGCATAGGCTTATGTGACTGAATGTGATGGTCCTGTGCCCAGTCCTATGACCTTATCTCTTCCTACATTGCCTTTGCTCACTCTGTTCTAGCCAGAATGGCCAATTACCTTTTTCTCAAATACTGCAAGCACGCTCTTGTATAAAGACATTTACATGTGCTCTGCCCTCTGCATGGAGTGTGCTTGCCTCAGATTACGAGTGGCTCACTCCCTTACCTCTTTAACCTTTTTGCTTAAATGTCCTTTATCAGCAAGGCCTTTCTTGTTTACCTTCCCTCACTTCCAGAATTCCTTATGCCCCTTTCCTTTGCTTTATTTATTCATTAATTCATTTTAAAAAATTTACATTTTAGGTAGTTAACTGTGCAATACTGGTTTCTGGCGAAGAATTGAGTGATTCATCACTTACATACAACACCCATTGCTCATCATAACAGTGCCCTTCTCAATATCCATCACCCATCTAGCTCATCCCCCACCCACATCCCTCCAACAATCCTCAGGTTGTTCTCTACCGTCACGAGTCTCAGAGCACCTGAGTGGCTCAGTATATTGAGCATCTGACTCTTGGTTTCAGCTTAGATAATGGTCTTGGGGTGGTGTGCCCCATGTTGGGCTCTGCATTCAGGAGAGTCTGCTTGAGATTCTTTCCCCTCCCTCTTCCATCCCCTTTGTTCCTCTCCCTGCTTGTACTCTCTCTCTCTAAAAATAAATAAATAAATAAATAAGTAAATAAGATCTTTAAAAAAAGTCTTTTATGGCTTGTTTCTCTCTCTCTCTCTCTTTTTTTCTTTTCCCCCTTCCCAGATGTTCATCTGTTTTCTTTCTTCAATTTCACATATGAGGGATGCCTGGATGGCTCAGTCAGTTAGAGTCTGCTTTTGGCTCAGGTCATGATCTCAGGGTCCTGGGATTGAGCCCCATGTCAGGCTCCCTACTCAGTGGGGAGTCTGCTTCTCCTTCTGTCCTTTCCCACCTGTTTGTGTTCTCTCTCTCTCAAATAAATAAATACAATCTTTTAAAAATTTCACATATGAGTGAGATCATACAGTGTTTGTCTTTCTCTGACTGACTTATTTCACTTAGCATAATACACTCTTGGTCCATCATGTCATTGCAAATGGCAAGATTTCAGTTTTTTGATGGCTGAGTAATATTCCATTGTATATATTACCACATCTTCTTTGTTCATTCATAAGTTGATAGACATTTGGGCTCTCTTCAGAGTTAGGCTATTGTTAATAATGCTGCTGTAAATATTGGGGTACACGTACCCCTTCAAGTCACTATGTTTGTATCCTTTGGATAAATACCTAGTAGTGCAATTGCTGGATTGTAAGGTAGTTCTAATTTTAATTTTTTGAGGAACCTCCGTATGGTTCTCGAGTTTTGACACATGTGAGGTGGTATCTCATCATGGTTTTGATTTGTATTTCCCTGATGATGAATGATGTTGAGCTTCTTTTCACGTGTCTGTTAGCCATCTGGATGTCTTCTTTGGAAACATATCTTTGCTTTATTTTAATCTCCGTAATCTCTGTCATACTATTATCTTATTTTTTGTTGTTGCATATATCTCTTCACTAGAGTGTAAGTTCCCTGAGAGTAGGGATTTTTGTCTTAAGCATGTAGAATAAAGCTTGACACATGGTAGACACTGATTGTGCATCCATTCATCCCTTCAGCAGATACCTACTATCTGCTAGGAAAAGAACATAAGGACTTAAAAGATGGCATGCCTACCCAAAAGTAGCTGACAGGGAAGTGGGACAAGTTCATTCAAATTTGCATTCCCATGATTTATGAGTGAATAGTGGTGACAGAAGTCATCAAAATTAATAGGGTGGTGTACATGAGAAATTAAAATATCCCAGGGAGGAGGCATGTATTATAATTTAGCTACACCAATAATCATCTAGCCAGAACCAAATGGGATGAAGGGCTGATTTCACTTAATTTACTTATGGGCATATTCTAGGTAGCTTAGAACTGGTGGACTGGTGTGGTATTTATCTGTGGGGCTGATAGTACTAGGACATAAGCTGGGTTCCACAGATAGGTACACTGGATATATGGAAGGTGCTTTGTGGCTAGGACTTACATTGGGTCCAGCCTATTGTTTATTTTTTCCACCTACAGAGCTTGACAAATAAACAGGTGCAGATCTGGCATTCTTGTTTTTTAAAATATATATATAAAATATATATTATATATTATTTATCAACTATTTATTAATAATTATTTTATATTATTTATACATATATTATATATAAACATATAAATAAATGAATAAATAAATAAATAAATAACAATATATTATATATATAAACCAATAAGAATGCCAAATCTGCACCTGTTTGTCAAGCTCTGTATATATATACTATATATATGATATAATATATATACATATATTATATATATATTTTTTTGGTCAGTCCTATACTTTAAAAAATTAAAATATAATAAAATAAATATAATATGTTATATATTAAGATAAATATAATAATATAATAAAAAATTAAAATATAATTTGCATACCATAAAACATACTCTTTTAAAAGTGTGAGTTCAGTGGTTTTTAGTATATTTACAAACTTGTACAGGCATCACTACCATCTACTTCCAGAATAGTTTCATCACGTAGAAAGTAGCCCTGTACCACTAGCAGCTACTTCCCACACTCCCCTCTCACAGTAGTTGCCTGCAGGCAACCACTAATCTATCTTCTATCTCTATAGATTTGCCTATTCTTGACATTTAATATAAACAGAATAATATTATATGTGGCCTTTTTGTCTGGCTTCTTTCACTTAGTATAATGTTTGCAAGGTTCATCAGTGTTTTGGCATGTATCCATACTTCATTCCTTTTTATGGCTGAACAATATTCCATTGTACGGATAGGCCACATTTTGTGTATCCATTTATCAGTAGATGGACATTTGGATTGTCTTCACTTTTGGACTATTATGGGTCATGTTTCTATAAACAATCTTGTACAAGTTCTTATGTGGACATATGTTTTCATTTCTCTTGGGTATATCCCATGGTGTAGAATTTCTGGGTTATATGGTGACTATGTTTCACATTTTGGGGACTGCCAATTATTCTCCATAGCAGCTGCACCATTTTACATTCCCACCAGCAATATATGAGGTTTCCCAATTTTTCCATGCCCTTATCAACATTTGTTATTGTCTTTTTTTTTTTATTATAGTCATCCAAGTGGGTGTGAAGTGGTAGCTTGCAGTTTTGATTTGCTTTTCTTTAATGACTAATGATGTTGAACATCTTTTCATGTGCTTATTAGTCATTTTTATATCTTCTTTTGAGAAATATCTATTTAGATCTTTTGCCCATTTTAAAAGTTGGGTTATTTGCTTTTTATTGTTGAGTTACAAGGGTTTTTTTTTATATGTTTGGATAGTAGACCCTTATCAGATACATAATTTACAAACATTTTTCCTGTTCTGTGGGTTGTCTTTTCATTTTCTTGATAGTGTCTTTTTAACCACAAAAGTTAGAATTTTACAGCTGAGAAAGAACTAACAGATCATTAATCTAATTCACCTTTTTCATTTTATTGATAAGGACACTAAAGCACAATGAATTGAATTAATCTCTTTAGTGGCAGAGTTAGGAACACCTGCTTTGTGTTTCAAATAAATTGCACCAAGTAAGTTACAAAGTAACTAGAGATAAAAACAAGTCCATCACAAATAAATATGTTAGAAGACAAAGTAAAATATTTGATAATCAGGGGTGCCTGGGTGGCTCAGAGGGTTAAAGCCTCTGCCTTGGCTCAGGTCATGATCCCAGGGTCCTGGGATCGAGCCCCGCATCGGGCTCTCTCCTTGGTGGGGAGCCTGCTTCCTCCTCTCTCTCTCTCTGTCTGCCTCTCTGCCTACTTGTGATCTCTCTCTGTCAAATGAATAAATAAAATCTTTAAAAAAAATATTTGATAATCACCTGTGATGCAGCGTGGTATGGACTATAAAAGCAAAAGGAACTCAGAAAAACAACTGGAGAGATAAGTGTACAGTTGCCTAGCAACAAGTAGATAGAGGGCAGTGACTGACAAAACTATGAGGGAATATAACTATGGGATTGAAATACAGAAGTCAAAGTATTAAATACCTTCACGTCAGGTCTCACACTCACCTTTAGTATCATGTCCAGTTTTCATCAACTTATGCAGTGGCACCATCCCTTTTGCTTAAAGATAAAATTAAGAGTCAAAGTTATATACATTTCTGAAGTTTTGAAAAGTAGAATAGGAGCAAATTACAGTTTTCTTTTAATTTTTCCTCCTATGAGTGGGAAAGTGAAAATATCAGTTATATGTGACATATCTCTTGGTTTTTCTTAGAGTTTTTATTTAAATTCCAGTTAATTAATATTCAGTGTAATATTAGTTTCAGGTGTACAATATAGTGATTCAACACGTCCATACAACACTGGTACTCATCACGATAAGTACACTCTTTCATCCTCAGTTAGAGATATACCTCTTAATTCATATTGCCTCTTTTGGTGCCTTTATGTATCAAACTCCAAAAAAATTGTCTTTGAAACAACAAACAGAGTCAACACTGAAGGAAAGACTATTTGCTTATCATCTTTTAGGATGAAAAGAAGTGAAGCAATTTTGAAAAATTGTTGACTCAAGGAGGACAACTTGCTACCCATTTCATTTTCATTAGTGATTTGGTTATAACCTGTTGACTAATTACGTGCCTTTTTGTGATATAGTTCTTTCTTTCTAGTGAATTCTCCTGTGAAGTGTGTACATGTAATATTTGTTATAATATTGACTACGAAATCTATCTGTCTTGCCCTACTCTATCCTATGGCCAGAACAACAATGAAAAAAGTACTTTAATAGTACAGATTCAATTCTTTTCTTTTCTTCCTCTCAAAATGTTGGGTAGTTTTGTTTTCTAGGCACAAGGCGATTAACTCAGGAGAAAAGTGCTGTGTATAATAGTTCAATGCTCTAAGTTTGGTTTAGTTTGGCCAGATAAAGCCAATAATGTTATTTTGATATCAAGAAAGGTCAGTTGCAGGTTATGGAAACATGGAAAGGTTCTGGTAGTACCTTTAGGCTGTAAAGCCTATACAGGGTAGTATATCAGGCAGAAAGCAGGACACACAAAATGGCTACATTTTCTTTATGCAAAGGGAGAGATTAATACTAACATGAAACATAATTTATCGGATTAAGAAGAACCTATCAGGGGCGCCTGGGTGGCTCAGTGGGTTAAAGCCTCTGCCTTCAGCTCAGGTCATGATCCCAGGGTCCTGGGATCGAGCCCCGCATCGGGCTCTCTGGTCAGCGGGGAGCCTGCTTCCTCCCCTCTCTGACTGCCTCTCTGCCTACTTGTAATCTCTGTCTGTCAAATAAATAAATAAAATCTTAAAAAAAAATAATTTCTGTTAAAAAAAAAAAGAAGAACCTATCAAACACCTTTATTCCTCCCTTCTCTCTCGTCTTCTCTTCTCTATTGCTTGGTTCTTTTCCCTGCCTAGACATTAGTTTGCTAGAGGGATCCTGTGCCATCCTGGGATGCTGCACGTGCCACCACACGGCTGGGAATGGGACTGGGAAGATTTCTGTTTCTGACAAGAGGCAGCCTTTATTTTTACACAGTAGATTTTTTCTAAATGTTTTTAGAGTTTCTCTATAGTCCTAATAAGTATGGTTTTAGAAATTCTCATATAAGTCAATCAGAGAAAGATAATTATCATATGATCTCCCTGATATGAGGAAGTTGAGAGGCAATGTGGGGGGTTTGGGGGGGTAGGAGAAGAATAAATGAAACAAGATGGGATCGGGAAGGAGACAAATCATTAAGAGACTCTTAATCTCACAAAACAAACTGAGGATTGCTGGGGGGAGGTGGGTAGGGAGAGGGTGGTGGGGTTATAGACATTGGGGAAGGTATGTGCTATGAAGTGTATAGACCTGGCGATTCACAGACCTCTACCCCTGGGGCTAATAATACATTATATGTTAATAAAAAAAATAAAAAAAATTATATATAAAAGAGAAATTCTCATATAGAACTCTACAACCTACACCATTATAAGCCAGAGTGGAATTTTGAATGTTCACCATCAAATGACATGAAATGTTAGCAGGTCTTGAAGTTGTTCATATAGAAGTATCATTTTCATGTTATTATGTTTAGGTAACTGAAATTTACTTTTATTCCTTAGAAAAATAGAAATTGTGAAATGGGGATTGGAGAAAAAAGATAACTTAAGTATAAAAAATGCCATTGTCTCAAAAATGAGTATATCTAGTCATCAGAAATTTGAAAGTGAAAACTTAAATCATAGGTAGCACATGTTTGAATGTGCAAAAAATGTCAATACAGTATACAGTATTCAGAAATAAAATTTGTTCTTTTAGTACCTGTATCTATAAAGAAAACACAGTAAGTGGACATTGAGTAATATTTGGTGAATTTGTGGAATACACACGGATGTTGTAAGTTTCTAAAATTATGAAACGCACTTTTCAATGTCTACATTTTCTTTAATGCACTGTGGACTTCACAGAATAACACATTTTGAAGGCAGCAAGTGGAATGGCTTACATAGTGAAGAAAGCAAGTGGGAGAGCAGGGTGGGCATGTGAACCATGTATGTTTGACAGAGACTAGAAAGAAAAGAGAAAAAGGCAATACTAGTCAGAAAACAAGTAGAAGCAGGAATGAGAGAAAAATAATCTATTAATAGAGATAGGAAGAAGAGAAGAAGAACAGAGAAAAAGAAGAAATGGAAGGGGACAAAGAAGAAGGATGGAAAAGTAAGCAGACAGGACTGGGAAGCCATGCTTTTTTGGCTTGGTAGAAGGGTTTTAACAATTGATTCTGATTTGGGCGACTCACTTACATGCCCTGGGGTTTTACATGGTGTTATCAGCACCACGCTCTAACCAACTGAGCTAACCAGCCAGCTTACATGGTGTTATATAACTCTTTCAAATGGCCCAGATTGGGAGGGTTATTATGAGAATGACCTTGATATAGCTGCTTGGGTTAGTGAATCTTCCATTATCTGAAAGCAGGAGACTAGAACCTTTATTAGTCAACCCACAAGCATTTATTGAGCATGTACTATCTACTCAAAAACAGCCTTGCTGAGAGCAGGAACTTTGTCCCTTTTTCATTGCTGAACTTTATTTTTTATAGTGGGTGGGTACTCAATAAATCAAAAACATTGATCTTATACATGATCACAGAGGATTGCTTCAGTATCCATAAATTCAGCATCATGATTTTAAATGCTGGGGTTAAAAGCTACTAAGCAGACATTTTCAAAAGTTTTCTGGCACCAGTGACAGAAGCAGCAATATATGGGATAGAATGGGACCTAGTCAAAGAGATCTTTTTTCTTTTGCAAATAATAAAATACAACAGGACTCATTTGGAAATGTTAAGTGTGGGTGCCCAGAATTTAAATTTATCTTCTCTTATTAACATTCATTTTGTAGATACTTACATAAAGCACCTTAAATTATTCTTAAGTTCTTCTTTTTGAAACACGATCAGGCTTTCAGAGACAAATCAATTAAAAAAAATCATTCTTGTTGAAAAAATGCAGAGAGCAAATCAAAATTACTGGAGAATGAAGTACAGATTGAGGTCGTGTGTGGGGGTAAGAGGGCAGAAGACAAGTCTTAACTTGCCTCTCCTGATGGGTTTCACAGCATCATTTTCAAACCTCCCATTCATTCTTTTCTAAGTAAGTACAGACGGTGGCATTTGGCATTGGGAAACTTATTTTAGAAATAAATATGCTAAGAGGCCTGCAAACAGAAAGTTCTGAGGTTATGTGTTAAATTTCACAGGCATCCAAAAAGGAATTTTAGGTATTCACACATACCTATCAATAGGTATTTTAGCATTAATAGGAAAATGGAAAAAGTAGTTTGAAAGTGGGGCTTTAATGCTGAATACACAAAAATTATGTGTGTACAAGGAAAAAAATTAGGGGTGAGAAAAACTATAGAATATCACCAGGTGATAGAATTAAGAATTACTAAAATTTCCCTTTTGCATTCTTTTGTTTTTTGGATATAGAAATTTTTTATAATGAACATGTATTACTTTAACAACCAAGAAAACACATGTAAAAATAAACTCATAGCACCAGATTATCCATTTTTATAAAATGAATCATGGATTCCCACTCACGTTTAAACTTCTTTAGGCCCTCCATTATTGAATCCACTGTAACCTTCCCATTTCCTGTAAAACATTTGAATCAGACACAGAGGAAGTCACATAAAAACTCATAAAAACTGAGTAATATTCCGTTGTATATATACCACATCTTTTTTTAAAAAAAGATTTTATTTATTTATTTGACAGACACAGATCACAAGTAGGCAGAGAGGCAGGCAGAGAAAGAGGAAGAAGCAGGCTCCCTGCTGAGCAGAGAGCCTGATGCGGGGCTTGATCCCAGGACCCTGGGCCAAAGGCAGAGGCTTTAACATACTGAACCACCCAGGTGCCCCAATATATACCACATCTTCTTTATCCATTCATCTTTAAACGGACATCTGGGCTTTTATTTTGGCTATTTGGGCATTGCTGCTTTAAACAGTGGGGTGCAGGTGCCCCTTTGGATCACTGTGTTTGCATCCTTTGGGTAAATACCCAGTAGCGCAATTGCTGGGTTGGAGGGCAGTTCTATTTTTAAACTTTTTCAGGAACTTCCATACTGTTTTCCAGGGCAGTTGTACCAGCTTGCATTCCCAACAGCAGTGTAAGAGGGTTCCCCTCTTTGTCCATATCTGACATGGATGGAACTAGATAGAGGGTATTATGCTAATTAAAATAAGTCAGTCAGAGAAAGACAATTATCATATGATTTCACCATATGTGGAATTTAAGAAACAAGACAGAGAATCACAGGGGAAAGGAGGGAAAAGTGAAATAAGATGTTTCAGAGAGGAAGACAAACCATTTAAGAGACTTAACTCTAGGAAACAAACAGGGTTACTGGAGGGGCGGTGGGTGGTGGGATGGGGTAACTGGGTGATGGGCATTAAGAAGGACATGTGATGTAATGAGCACTGGGTGTTGTATGGGCTGATGAATCACAAAACTCTACCTCTGAAACTAATAATATACTATATGTTAATTAATTGAACTTAAATAAAAAACTCATAAAACTGATAAAAGTTGTGAAATTATTAAAAT